ATATATATATATTAAGCAGAAAACATAGTTGAATTCAATGAGAAGGACTCACAAGCTTTAAAAACATTCAAATTGATCAAAATTTTGTTTGAGAGGATTGATACTTCATTTTTTTCCCCACTCACCGAAGATTTAGAGGGATTAACGTTGGTATCTACCTTCTAGAAGGAAAAATAATATTTGACAGGTGACAACTATATATAGATCCTATATATTATCCTAAGCAAATAGCTAAATATGATATAATCATTAAACAATCCTAAATCATAGAGAGATAAATGTCAATGATTTTAATATTTAAACAAAGTTTAGATTTAATCTGTGGTTACTAACAAAGGGTGGAGAGTGGGAAATAATGAAGAGGGTCCTTTTTGCTTTTGTACTCTTAAAAGGTGATTAAGCTTCTATTATAGTGATGGAATTGACCAGCCAACTATTATAGTTAGATAGATAAACGGCAACTATATAAGCATTACATATGCCATGCCTGATGCCTTCATCAACGCCAGACAACCTCCCAGATTGCAATCTCCCTGCTTAATTACTGCTTCCTTACAATTCATTAATATTTATGTCATTTTTCGTATTTTTTTAGTTATATACTTTTTTCACTCAGATTAAATTGTTTTACTTTAACTAGTAATTTTAAATTTTAACTAGTATTTTGAGTGGATTTTGTTGTTCATAGTACTTTCAAACAAGATTATTTTTCATAGAAAATATATGTTGTCTCTAAAAAAAATGAAAATTCTGCTTCTTTTTATTGTTTGTTTTGAAAATATTGCATTATTGTGTCATTAAAATCCAAAATAAATTTTAAAGAAAATATATTATAATGCAATATTTTCACTATATATAGTCAATTATAAAGCAATAAAATTTAATATTTTCACTACATATATAAAGTCTATTAATGTAATATATAAAATTATATAAATATATAAACAAGTAGAATTTTCATATATAGTATGACACAATTTTGTTAATTATTTGGATGGTAAAATGGATAAAATTTTAAAAGTTTGGTACTAATTTGTATAAATTCAAAAATTAGATGATAAAATTGATAAAAATCTAAAGGTTATTTAACAAAATGTGTAAAAATTAAAAAATTAAATGACAAAACATGTTATTTACTTTCTTTATCACATCAATTAACACATCAATTGTTATATCAGTTATCACATCATCATCAATATATTACATCATTAATTCACATTAAGAAAATGTATGTGAAGAATATAGTAAATAATACTACAAGTAATATTGTGTATAGAAATGTTGGAAACACTTTTTAATACACTTTTTTTATTTTATAAATATAATCATTTTAATTAGTTGTAATTTATTGGAAAAAATCAAATTTAGTAGGTTTCACATTTTACTTAATATGATTCTCTTAAATTTTTAGTTTTTAATAAATTCTAACTGATGAAAATGAACACATTAAAAAGAGTTTCTCAGAGAATATCTTAACATTTCTCATATATTGTATATAATCTTTAACTTATTTTTTATACACGTTTCAAAAGTATATTCCAAAATAAAAAAGAGAACTTTTCCCCTTTTAATTCAGCAAACATTTTCGTAAGATCGAAAAAGTAAAGTGATGTCAAACTGTCGGGGGCTGATCGTACTATGCTGCATGTGGCAAGTTGGATAAAATCACAAAATGGAATATCGCCCATCATCAAATATATTGTATTGTAATATTAAGAACATAATATTTAACTCAATGAATTAATGAACTAAATCATATATATTGACATAACTATTTGACCGAATAACCATCACTACAAATCTTATCATCTACATTCAACTGCAGCTTAATGTCACAATTGAGGAATAAAAATAAATGAGTGCATTATTTGGATATGTATCGTACACTTCATATATTATTTTTCCAGCAATTTCTCTAACACTATTATTCATTAAGAATTATAAATTTTGTCAATATTATGCTTCATTTAAATTCACAAAGAGGGTGTTTGAGAGAATTTTACTAGCATTTCTTGTGCAACAACTCAGCATTGACAATACATTCATATTTTAGAGTACAATTTGACTGAGTCCACTAACAAAGAAGAATCAAGATGACCTGCTATTTCTTAGATTATATAAGCAGTAGCCGATTAGTCATGGCAACAAACATGATCCATGCAAATACCACAAAGGGAAACAATTTTGAATATGAAAATAAGAGGAAACGAAAGAAGAAAAAAAAATGGCATGTTTTTAAGGGACATAATCCCACCCAGTATCACAAAGATCATAGATGTAGACACTGCAAAAGAGCCTTGGATTTAAAGAGGTTCCTAATAATATTAAGGTACACCAAAATATGTAAAACAATTTTTCTGTCTTATGCACCTGGTGCATAGGTTAAGTTGAGAGAAAGATGGAAAATTTTCAATATAATAAATAACTATTCTATTACCAATATAAGAAATATTTTTCAACAAATTTTCTATTTTTCGTTGTTATTAAAATTGGACCAAGCGGACCAATATGACCAGAAACTAATCATGTTGCTGGTTCGGATAACTTAAAAAATTAGTAAACAACAGGCCAAATTGACTAAAATCAGTCAAAAGTGGATAAAAACTCAGAAAACTAGTTTGAATAGGTATTTTTTTATTCTTAAATTATTTTATAATAAATAAATTTTCATTCCTGAGATCTATGTATAATTGCTATTTTTAATTATTTATTATAATTTAATATCTTGTATGACATGTAATATGATCCTTTTATATTAATTTAAAACTACTCATTTTTTAAATTATCTTACATTATTTTATCAGTTAATCTATTAGGTATTATAAAAAAAAATGCTTTACTATTATCAGGTCAATCCTAATTCAATCCCTATTGAATCAATGACCTTTAAACGCGCGCATTGTCCTTTCATTAATTCATTGACACGTCTAATTTTAAAAATATTGATTTTTTACATTTTGGTTTTAAGGTGTCATAAAAATGATTCATATTAAGGTCACCCCAATAATCTTAAGAAAATAATCATTCCAATTTCACATCCAATCTTGAAAGAGTAACCCATTAATTTGTTGTCACATTTTTAAAAGACCAAGTTAATCCAAATGTGTCTGTCTTAGACTAATAGTCTATTGTTTCAGCATTGAATATTAATGTAATTGCAGGTGGATAGAAAATAGAAGTTTTTCCTTCTACTACTAGTCTACTATTCCCTCCTAATCCATTAATCAAGCCCAAGTCATACAAGCTATAAAAGAATATCACTTTTGATAAAGTAAAAGACTAATTTTAAATACTCCTACAATTTCCTGGCTATTCTTCTCACTTCTTTTGTACAGTATGTATTTTATATTTTCAAGACATTAAACATATTTACTTTTTTATTGATACCTTTCATTATAAGGTAATATAAGGATTTATAATATATATATATATATATATATATATATATATATATATA